TTGAATAATGAGTCATACGACTGTATATTGATCCATGAACACGAGCCATGAAAACAAACATGTCAGTGCTATAACTGTAACTCGCTGCTGGGAATGCAAGAAAAAAAAAACCCAACATTTTCCTCAACGCCGATGTCAATTTAAAAAAGGCGGCACCATCGTCACATGGAACACGCGGCCTTAAAGAAAATTCTTCTTGAATCACTTCACTTTGGCAGTCGCCGCTGACGATTTAATGATTTGACCGAATGAAGACATATTTCAGATCATACAGGTCACAATTCTATGGAATATAATCATTGCTTGATAATAATTAGAGAAGCCTATAACACTAATTGTATTCCATAGAATTGTGACCTGTATATTCCAGTTTAATTACTAAATGCCATTAAAACAATATATTTCAGATCAGTCTGCCCATATAGTATTACAAAGGTTCAAACATTTCTAGTGGAAACCGATCATTAATTATAAAGGAAACAACCAAGACTGTCCTAAGCAGGAAGGCGATTGGAATTTGGAATTGGATTATTTTAGCTGGATAATTAATACAAGTCTATAGGCGTAAAGCCCAACACAAAAAAAAACCAGTGAAAGTTATTCGGCAATTACGGAGACAGTGTATAATAATTATAGAACTATTAAAGAGGCATCAGCATTTTGGAGATCTTTACCGGTCAGTAAAAAGACGTGATTTGGTTATATTTACATCAAGGGTGTTCAAATTCGATTGTATGGAACACGTGGCGTTCGAAGACTGGGCGTTCAAGTTTAATTTGATTTTCGAAAATTTGGTAACGCCATGGTCACGTCATTGTTTAAAATTAATAACATTTATTTCCTTGTTAAAAGTGGTAATACCTCTTTAACAGTGTATGTATAGGCTCACGTCACACTGATTAATATTGGCGGACACCATGTTGTGGCGGATATCATTCTATATTTATATCAATTTATATGATATGTTCCCCAAGGGCAACTGACATTTTAGAAAATAATAACAGTTTTAATTAAACGTCTTAATTAGTCTGAGAAAAAATATTATAGCACCAATAGTTTGAAAGTAAAAAAGAAAATAATCTGAGAAGTTCTATGATGTAAAATGATAATGTAATCACGGTTGAGTCAGCTCGAACAATTATTCTTCCATGCCAATTTCATTTACATTTACACCATTTTCTCTCGGAGGGCCTACTTTCACTAGAATATAACTAAACCACTATTTTCTTTCGGGGAACCAAATTTCACTAGAAATGAAATTCAACTGAAATAATATTCGTCACCATGTATCACGTTTATGTTTTGAATACTTGGTGCACCTGAAGCTATAAAATTCTACTCGTTATAAACCGGATACACCGTAATTATAATGGTTAAAACATGATATATGTTATGTTATAAAATAATAAAAATACAGTAAAAGAAACTGCAAAAAGATTTTCTTAATTCTACGAAAAATGTTTAAAATCTTTGCCAGTCAAAACCGCGAATCAGTTTAAGAAACCTGGACAACATGTTTCTATCAAACGAAGTATATCTACAAGTACATTTATTATTATCATGCAACTACAAAAGCAATAACATCATAACAGAAATTAGAACCTTTTTGCATATCTATACTAATTTAAAAACTGATTTTGTTACGCAATCCAAAATTCAACATCTGGATATACTGCGATTAAAATTAATGTGTTTTACTTATGATTTCTTAGCCCAGAAGTAAAATAATATACACTTACCGCCATGATAGAAGGAGTTTACATCTCGAACGATGCGGAATATATAATACTGACTCACAAAACAAGAAGAGCAAGTTAATATATCAAGTATACCAAGCAACTAATATATGTATAGGAGGAAGTATATACATTCATTAAAGTTGACCTCGTAAATTTGAAACTCGAGATCAGCCAACCGTGATTTTATTAACTCGAAGCTATCCGAATGCGAATTTGTCAGTAAACATGCAGGATATAATATTAATCATATTTTTGTGTGCAAATCGTTTAGTTGGTAATACGATGTTGGGTTGGCGACGTTTTAATACACTGTCTTCTTGCGGTAGGTTCTCGTAGCTAACATAATTGGTTTCACTTTTTATGTTATGTGCTGTTTTGGTTTTTTTAAATACATTTGAACAGTTGAATTTTTGTAGTTGCGTGACCAAAATGAGGTTATCAAAAAAAAAAGAAAAAAAGAAAGAAAGCAACAACACCGAAAAGAAAAAAAAAAAAAAAAACCCCTCACAAATACAAAATTTTTCATCTTTTTTTTTTTGAAAATCCTGCTCATGTTAAGCTCATACAGTAACCCGGGACATGCTTTATTATTTTTCAAATGAGGAATGGTCAAATTTAAACAGTTTTTAATAATAACACATCAAAGAAAAAACGAAAAGTTAATAGAGAATTGTCTTATGTAAAGTAATTATAGATAAACAGGATGACAATAAAATCTAGGATTTCCTTCTTAAGCTTTTATCGTGTTTCGTATAATATGCCCATAGAAATGTGGTCGTATGTTGTCGCAACCCCGGGGCATTCGTTCACCCGTTCGTCCCTCGTCCACCCGTTAGAGGCTCAAGTCAGAGCCCTGCCTATGATAGTTCTTTATAACAAAAACAACAACAAAAGAAACCATACCTGAGTGAGGGACTTTTTCTCGATAATGCAAACATTTGAATTATGACATTGAAATTATTTTCTTCGTGAGTTCTGTAATATTTAATGGATTGTAGCATAAAGTTTAGATTAATAATAAACACCCCAGTCTTATTTTTTTTTAAAGTCATACAAATATTACATCAATGTATAAAAATACCTTGTCAGTTCATGTCAGTTCTCGGCTATATAGAATTACTGTCACTTACTATAGAAAAAAAGTTTGTTATGTTTGTCAACACTTTGTTAATTCTAAAGATAAAAATATGCAGGCTATCATGCCGTATTTAAAACTCGGCATATGAAAACCTATTAACAGGGGCGGATCCAACGTTTTCAGAAAAGGGGGGGGGGGGCGTGCTGCCAACCGGCTCGTTTCGAAGTAAATTACGACGGGGATCGCTACCATTTTTAAGTATTTTTGTTCTCCTTTCTCACGAGAATATATGGGGCAAAGAATTGTTCGCCACCGCAAAAAATATGGGGGCGGGATCCGCGCCTAATTAACCACGTATAAGGTTATGATTTTCAGATGAAACAATGAGATATTACTAATATTAGCAAGAAACAAGGTCACTATAGTGAAATCGACCCACCTTTGCCATTATGAGGTTAATCCGTTCTTACAAACATTTTTACAAACCTATTTAAAATAGCTAATAGAGAGAGAGAGAAATGGGGTTTAACGTCCACTCGACACAAACTACATCATTTCGGGACTACCACATGGTTCAATTCTATTTCAATAATTCGCTTGCGCGTAGGGGTCTTTAGCAGTTGGAGGAAACCGGAGGACCTGGAGAAAACCCGGGGGGTCACGTACAGCTGGGGAATCGAAACCCCGCCAGTTGACTCAATGAAAGACCTTATGATACAGCGCGCAAGTGCTAACCATTCGGCCATCCACCCATCCCCCACCCTAAAATAGCTAATAAGACTCGTTATTGTGCTTAACATGAAACTTGTGTAATTAGGGGTATTTTTTACAAACATAGCAGGCCTAAGCGATCTTGATTTTCTGGTTGTTCTATTTTCAAAGAGATTCCAATATACATGTACTTGTTTAGAGATGCAAAATGCTATAAAATGGTCTACCCAATTTTAGACATTTTGACCCACCCACCCACCACGCCAAAACACCTGATCACCACAGATTCGTAATCTACGAAAAAGATTTCTCTAGAAAAACTTGATCTCATAAAATCCCCAGTTTAGGGGCAGAACAGTAGGACGTTAAACCCCATTTCATTTCATTTCCCTCTCGGGTGGCGATACTCCTCCTCATGTGAGGGGTTTGCTTTAACGTTTACTCAACACAAGCTAATATAAGTCATTCAGGAATAGCTTAATGGCCTTTAGCTGTGGGAGGAAACCAGAAGACCCAGAGAAAACCCACGAGGTTTGGCGGGCCCAAAGAAGTCCATATAGTCAATAGTTATTATCAAAATGTGTAATGATAAACAGTCGTAGATAAAGGTGTGGAATGATTTGTTAGTAATGTTTAATTTTATGCGGTCACCTGAAGATACGCATTTACAATACGTCCGGTACCGGTATGTCGACAGTGACAAATTGCTCAATTAACTATACCTTATATTCTACGTCTGTTTTATACAATGTCACGAATACCTTTAAACTAATTCACGTACGGCTAAATAAAAACATTATTTCAAATATTCATTGCATTGTATATGAATAAGAAAGTGATATATCGTCAGTCAAATCCCACTGTCAAAAGGGTAATCTCTTCAGTCGTTTATACCGTAATAAAGAATTTTCAATGCTAAGAAATTAACGTTTTGTAAAACGAAAATCGGTCAAAGTCAGGGCTCTCTTAACAGCATTACAGACCCCGGCAAAGCAGTGAACTTGGATACCTACCCACATAACCACTAACAGCAATAAAAAAATTAAATGGTCGATAAAATTAAACAAAAAATTATTGTATTGTATTGGTACTTCCAACAGAACCAGTGCACATGCTGTACAGCAAAGGTGAGGGTCATACATAGACTATATTATTGTTGCCTATATAGTTTATATTTACTAAACAACATATTTACCTGTATTACTACTGCTGTTAAATTATTTTGACTGTTCGTTTGATATCCAAAGGACCAATCGGTCTTCTATCGCAAAGCAGTGAACTTAGGTCCCTACCCACACAACAACTAACAGCAATAAAATAATTAAATGGTCGATAAAATAAAACAAAAAAATATTGTATTGTATTGGTACTTCAACAGAACCAGTGCACATGCTGTACAGCAAAGGTGGGGTCATAGATAGACTATATTATTGTTGCCTATATAGTTTATATTTACTAAACAACATATTTACCTGTATTACAACTACTGTTAAATTCTTTTGACTGTTCGTTTGATATCCAAAGGAAACAATCGTTCTTCTATCACTGAGCAAAGAAGCTGTACACGTTTAAAAAGTTATTTCTGATGTTCACAGTACTCGATGAATTATAAATTGCTTAGAAGATTGGCAAATCGGATGACGTCGTGTTTATTTGTCCACATAATATAAGCCGTGAGAGTTATTTCCGGAGAAGTTTGTATTACATGTAATAGACCAGTGTGCGACGCTTGACAATTAACCTCTGATAATAATACAGAAATAGGATACAACATACTTCGAAATTACTGTTGTATGAAATGTGACGTTTACCCTTTTTCGTGATTTACACCTTGTCGCTTGTGACCGTGTTTCCTTATAGGTGAATTATAGCTAAGATTAGATAAAGAGCTTACTGTTTTCGCTCTAATAGTTTGAAAATAGATAATGGAAAGAGAATATGATGAAATTTCAGCCAAATTGCTTCACTCTGAAACTATATATTAGCGATTCAATTTTAGCTAGGCTAGCCTCGATCATCATTACTACCGTTAAGATAACAAACAAAGTCCCGATTATCCAGTTTTACGGTTATTTCATTAATCATAGAACGTATTCAAATCGACTAAATATCACAGACTAACGAAGGCATCGAGAGTTGGTTATAGTCTTGATAAGTTAAGCATACATTGTGCAAGAGCTAAATCTGCCTATTGCAGGTCTTTCTTTAGGTCTGAAATGTATTCAGACCATAATCAACTCTCGATGTCATGTCTGCGATATTTACCGGATTAGGATCCGATTTGCTGCTCAACTTTCATTCAAGGTTTAATCACGAAATGGATAATCAAGACTATGTTTTTATCGTACCGACTTTAGTAATGATGATCGAGGCTAGGACCAAAATTCAATCGCTAAATTATCAGGTTAGAGTGGACCAATTGGGGTGAAATTTTCAGCAAATTCCGTTTACGTTATCAAGTTTTTAACTATTATAGGGCCTAGTGAAAACTGCCAGCTTTTTATCTAATCTCCCATAATGTAAATTTAATGAATGTCTAATTAATAATTTAGATAACATTTAAGGCCTAAAGAAAGACCTGCAATAGGCAGATTTAGCTCTTGCATAATGTAGCCTCAAAGCGGACTGATATTGGATGGATTCTGACATCATATCTCTTATAAAAAAAATAATATGTTTGCTATCTTGCAAAAGTCCAGTGGACAGTAACAATGAATTATAGACATCTCTCGAAAGACAACCATATAAAAACAAGAGAACTAATCTGATTGGGCAAGAATCTCCCACGACCCTTCAAAAGTAGTTATAATTTTTTTCAAATTTGTAGAAACATAACCCTTTCCAAATCTATTGTCTCTCGAGAATCGAGATTTGGCGACACAGCGTCAAAGGAGTATGGAGCGGAATTTCCCCCATAAGACCTTCGTATTTACTAATATTTTACATTAATAATAAATTACTTTAAAACACCGCAATGACCGGAATTCACATTCAAAACATAAACACCGGAATTCACTTTCAAAATATCGGAATTCGCACGTCAGACCTTCGTACTTACTAATATTTTACACTAATAATAAATTAATTTAAAACACCGGGATTCACTTCCAAAATATCTGAATTTGCACTAAGACTCAAGACCTTCGCATTTACTAATATTTTACATTAATAATAAATTACTTTAAAACACCGGAAATCACTTTGAGAAAATCGGAATTCGCCCCAAGACAATTGTATTTATTTATATTTTGCATTAATATTAAACTAAAATGTATCTGTTGTAAAACGATATTTCCAGATGGCCAACTCGGGGAAACACAATATGATAAGAACACAGCAGTAATCCATGTATGTCAAACCTAACTTCTTGAATGTGAGGCAAAACGTTCTCAGTGTAGATGAGCTAAGTTTATTCGTTGTTCTTAGTGTTTAACGTCCGCTTCAACCGAAGGTACAAGTCTGAAGGTGATATCGCAGATAAGTCTTATTTTTTTTTTTTTTTATAATCTTAGCGCTCGCGCAGGGGTCTTTCCCGTGGGAGGAAATCAGAGTACCCGGGGTAAACCCACGAAGTTGAGAAGGCGCCCCTATCTCCAAGCCACATACGCTCAGACCAGGAATCGACAGCCGCAACTGAGTCCGAAACGACGTTTTTGTTGAGTCCGAGCTGCTGCGGGACCGAAATGACATGCTGCCAGGTGACCGACCAGCTAGAGGTCGAAGCGCGGCACTCTAGACCACTAGTCCCCCCCCCCCCCAAGTTTATTCGAATATCAACTTGGTAATAATAAGCGGCCAATCAAATAAAGTCTCATCAATAATGGTTTGAATGTTTCCATAGATAATCCGTTGCAGCATGAAGCAGTCCAGATTAAATAATGTGTAAAGTGTAATTGTGAATTGTCTTGTGCCACTAACGAGACGCAAAACGTGTTTAGTAGTTATTTTGATAATTAATTTGCAGTGCCAGTGAATATGAAGTTCAGATTTATTATGTTTAACCTATTCTTTAAGTGGCATTTAGCGATCAGGGAACAAATTAACAGAGCACAGTTTTTATGGGATACAATCACTAATTTATTCTAAAAGCACGACGTTTCGACAAGTATCCTCTTATCGTTATCAAGCACAAATGACAATTTAGTAAACTTGTGGACAATATATATGAAATTAATAAGAAACCATCTGCATGGATTAAGAATAACAGTAATAGAAATAATCAAGGTGTAAAGGATATTTAACAATAACAACAAACATAACAAGGTAATTAGCTACTAATAAGCACTGATACTGCATGATTAGAGGGTTATTAACAGTTATGAAGCCCTTCAAAAGGGTAGCATGTATGGATAGTGGGAAGTTGATAAAGCACAGGTAGTGAGGCCATGTGCATGAAGTTAAATAAGATTGCATTATATAAGTACAACTATAACAATACACAATTTGTACTTAGAAAACAAGAACAAAAATCCTCTAAAAATATAAGGGACATGTTGGGAGAATCTATAATATCGAAAATTTATTAATGAGATGGGGTGGGGGCGGGGATTTTAGTACAACCAAAGATGGCTTAATAGTTAAATTATGTTGTGCATCTTAATTACATCATCATATGCCCTGGGGATGTAGAGCCCTAAGTCCCTATTGAGTTCAGGTGAATGTCTTCTGATATTTATAGCTTCTAGGATCTTCCTGGTTTTCTTGTTCTGTTGGTTGGCGGTTAGTATCTGGACCTCATTCCATTTAACTCTGTGTTGTGGGTGATTCTGGAGATGTTCCGCTATGGCTGAGTTATTAGTAGCGGCTTTGGACTTATGTTCCGTTATCCTTTTGTCAATGGGTCGTTTCGTTTCCCCGATATATGTAGCCTTGCAGGAACAAACCACTTGATAGACGACTCCTTTGGGTTGGGTGGGGAGAATTGGTTGCAACTTGCCGTTGGCTTTCAATATCTGTTTCAGGGTGGTCGGGACCGAAAATGTGGTGTCAATGTTTGATTTCTTTAGTAGGTTGCTCACTCTGTATGTTAAATTACCATAAAAGGGCAAGGTTATTCTGATGGGTGATTTTTCAGGTTTTTGATAATCTTTACTGGTGGTTTTGATAGTTTCATTGATCTGCTTTTTCACTAGTAACGGGGGATAATTATTCAGGTTACAAAACACGTGGCGTAAATGGTCCAATTCTTCCTGCAGGAATTCGGGTTCACAAATGTTGATTGTTCTGCGTGCTAGGGTGGAAATAAGGGCTCTTTTGATATAATGGGGATGACTGGAGTTGTAATTGATATATTGGTCTGTGTGGGTCGGTTTGCGGTATATTTTAGTTTTCATTTGATTATTGACTTTTATAACTTGTACATCTAAGAATGGTAGGGTATTTTCTTTTTCTGTTTCGATAGTGAATTTAATTCTAGGATGCTGTTTGTTCAGGTGTTCAAGCAGGGACATAGGTTCATCATTTTCATCAAGCACCACAAACGTATCATCGACCTTGCGAAGCCAAATGATTGGAGTGATGGGAGAGGTTCTTAGGGCAGTCTTTCCCGTGGGAGGAAATCAGAGTACCCGGGGTAAACCCACGAAGTTGAGAAGGCGCCCCTATCTCCAAGCCACATACGCTCAGACCAGGAATCGACAGCCGCAACTGAGTCCGAAACGACGTTTTTGTTGAGTCCGAGCTGCTGCGGGACCGAAATGACATGCTGCCAGGTGACCGACCAGCTAGAGGTCGAAGCGCGGCACTCTAGACCACTAGTCCCCCCCCCCCCCCAAGTTTATTCGAATATCAACTTGGTAATAATAAGCGGCCAATCAAATAAAGTCTCATCAATAATGGTTTGAATGTTTCCATAGATAATCCGTTGCAGCATGAAGCAGTCCAGATTAAATAATGTGTAAAGTGTAATTGTGAATTGTCTTGTGCCACTAACGAGACGCAAAACGTGTTTAGTAGTTATTTTGATAATTAATTTGCAGTGCCAGTGAATATGAAGTTCAGATTTATTATGTTTAACCTGTTTGTTGACAGGGCCCTTTTATTGATTGTCTCTAGAATCATAGCTATAATATTAAATTGTTTATTGCACTATAATTATACCATAATATGTTTCATGCATATAATTACTGTTTTAATAAACTATTAATCAATCTCTAATTACAATACATTACCACGAATTGCAACGAAAGTATACATTTATTTTTTTGTCAACAAAAATCACATACACGAGTTATCTCCCGTGGACCTCCGATTTGGGCAAAAAGCAGCGAGGTTTCTTAAATTCAACTAAATTGTTATTAAAATAAATTATTTTTGTGGGAGGAATTGGAGATTTTCGAAGTGAATTCCGGTAAATTCCGGTGCTTAGTCTACCCATCCAATTCCAATTCTAACCATATTTACATCTCGCGACTTACGACGAAATCTGCAGTGGGCTGCGGTGGGCTTTAACTTTTAGACTCTGTCAAGGGCGATTGTAAATTAGAGTAGCGTCCCTTTGTATTATGTCTGTCTTCGGCCCTGTATTTCGCAAACTTTATAATTTATTACCAATAATAATTAATAATTGCAAATGTGTTTTATTCAGCACTATGTAATTGCCATATTTGACCAAATTCAACGAATATTACAGAAAGGCAATGAGATATATGCTTTTTCAAAGATCTTGTCGACTCATAATCGACTGTAAAACTAAAAGTCACGCTGAACGCTCATTTCAGACATTTGCAAGGGCAAACTCAAACTGTCATTTGTTGCTGAGAAATGTTATAGTTGCAGGGAGAAATAATAACACAGTTACGGGTATTAATTTTAACACATGTTCATATTTCCTCAAGACTAAATATCAAACTAATAATCCAAAACATTTGAAAAGTTCTAAAATGTCCAATCATCGACCTACTGATAGAACAAAAAGCGGATGGGCAGATTTTGAGAAATACAGTGTTTTTGCCCGGTCAATATCAGGACTAGAGACATCAGTTGTTGTAAAAAGTGATGATTTGTCACTGGCATTTGATATGGGATATTCAGCAAAGGAAAGTGTCAAATGTAAAAATGTATTCATTAGGTAAGACTGACTCTAAAATTGCTCTGTTGTTAGATTTGGGTCGAATGGTTGTTGATTTCATTGCATTTTATGAGTTTCCTTGGCACCTAGAAATGAACACAAATGGGTCACAACATATAATAATGTAGGCCTAATATGAATGTATATAAACAGATTTTCATTCAATCGCTTCTGTTTTTACTGTAATTTCTAATCCAAATGTTTGGCAAAATAAGGTATGTGAAAAGTGCAAACTGAATGGCAGTAATTGGCATCTTGTTATTCCAGTCTACTTCGGTAGTCTTCCCTTGTGGGATATGTTTAGCCTCATTCATCCAGTCACTTCATTACAAATGGCGCTCGAGTTTCGAAAGCATTCTGGCACATGATTTTTGTGTCAAGTTTAAAGTTTAGTCTACCAGAAGCCCATCTTTTCACAACAACATCAATATTGATTTAAATTGACCAATAAGTTATATTTGCAATGTCGAAGACTATGATACTTAATTAAAGACTTGGCTACTTTAATTTGTTTTTATGAGGTAACAATCTGTGTTGGTTGAAAATTGTATGTCTAAAATTGAAGCCATTGTCAAGATAGTGATTTTGTGTTCCACTCTTTAGGAATTACAAACTAAGTAAAATTAATAAAGGGGCAATCTCTGCTTAATCCTTCCATATGACAGTTTGCCACATACAATGCCACAAGAAGATGCTAATTTGACATTTTTCCACTTACTTAGGTCATTAATTTTATAATAATTTGAAGAAAATATAATAAGCTTATATATATTGGTTTGTTAATATTAAACTTTTGATTGAAATATTAATTACAATGTACAAAATACATTTGTTAATGAATGCCTTTATAATTTTGTTGACTTTACTCTTTTTATAGTCATGGCCATATGGATCATATTTCAGCAATACCACAACATGTAGGGAAACGTTCCTTATATGGAATGCCAAATGCCAGGTACTATGTACCAAGTCATTTGGTAGATGACTTAAAATCAGTTTGTGATCTTTATAGTAAAATTAGTGGAAATCCAAGAGCCTTGAATGAAATTGAAATCTTACCATGTGGTGATCATGATACTGTAAATGTAAGTAGGCCTCTTTTTCATTGTTTATCAATCAGAAAAATTCAAATTGTATGTTCTTTCACATACTCCTCACAGTGTTTCGTTCGATTAGACCTAATCCCACTCGACACTGCCTGAATGAAAGCAAATTTCTGTTCCAAATTATGACTGGTCAATAGTCTAATTAACAACCAATACTTAACTGCGTAACAATATCATTCGGGTTTAAACTGAGCTCCAGATATGTTTACATAACATTACGTCATGACTCAAAAAATTTTTTACACCCAATTAACCAGTGCATTGCAGAAAAATTAATTGCGTGACAAACGAGGCTATCAAAAATAGCCACAATGTAAACAATACAGTTTGGAGATGAACAATACTTTCACCATTTTTAATACCTTAAATCACAGTCCAGAGTTTTAGGGAAGACCCCAGATTAAAGAAGGGCTATCATGTTGCTGTACTTAAGATAGATTTGATTGAACAGGAAGAATAGACACACTCCCTCAAAAGCTCAAGTATCAGAAGTCAATTCAGCAATGGCCAGAGAGGGATTTCTTGGGCCACTGCTTCAGGAATATGGTTCTTTCATAACAAATCTTACAACATCTACATTATATTCAAAAGCTGATTGGTTTGCCAAAGATTAAGCTTACATGATAATAAATGTAAATGAAGAGTCAATTATCTTTGTATCAATCTGAAATATGGACCCTTATGATACACATATGGAATCGTGGATGACAACAAGCACTGTTTATCAGGCTTACAACATGTACTGTAGAACTTTAATATTTCCAGTTTACAAGTAAATATACAATGAAGGCATTTCCCACTATACATAGAGTAAAAAGTCAAGGCTATATATTATATCATCATAAAAAATCATTAAAAGCTGAATATCAAGATTTAGATGGTAAAACTATTGGTGAAATGGTGAAATCCGGTGAAACAATACATGATATTATTACAACACCAGATGTTGCTTTCACAGGTAAACTTTAACCTTAATACTGTATGACTACATTCTCCGATGATCTGCAGATAAACGCAACCATTTCATATTAAATGACATATGAATCTGTTTATACATATATCCTTATTATAATCAAACACAACCTGAAGAAGATATTTTAGATATGTCCACTTTTGCCAATAGTTATGTTGTTGATTAAAATTACATTATTTTAAAAGAGACTAGTTAACTATGATAATTTTTTCATGATTTTATACGATATCAAAGTTCCTTTCTTATGAACCTGATCTAACAGAACAAACAACTCACTATCCTTTTTTTGTATTCAAAAGTTTAATGTGGATGTGTATTTTGTCATCACATCTGTCTGTTGTCCATACACAATTTCCTTTGAACACTCAAGTTTTCTTGTTGACTTAACATTGTGTAGTTATCTCCCCACTTCTGTTGATAACTTTGCTCTATATCATGTTCACAGCGTTTCATAAATTTGAACGTAATTGGGGGATAACTCTACATTACCTTTTTGTTCACAATTTTGGTTTTATGCACCCACATTTTCATGTGGACGTATATTGCCGTGGCACCTGTACGTCCATCCACATTTTGTTTGTGGACACTCTACAGGTCACAACTTTTATCCAATTTTGATGAAACTTAAAATATATGTTTATATCCCAAAGATCTCTGTTCCTTTCAATATTCGTGTATATCGGACTGTAACTGCATGGATTATGGCTACCAAATTTTTAGCTTGTGAACCCTATGCAGGTCACAATGTTTATCCTATTATAAAAACCGTGCAAATATATCACCATAATGATGGTTGTGTTCGAATTTCGTGAAAATCGGACCAAAACATCCCTTCAAAATGGCCGCTCCCTGTACGCAGAAAGTGACACTATAATGACAGTGCATTTCATGAAAAAAAGGACTGAAACTGCCTGTCAAAATTGACGCTCCCGGTACACAAAATTGTAAAACTAAAATACGTATTTTGAACTGCTGACATGTGCAGTTTGCACCGTGAACATTGAAATAATATTGGCAAGTTTATTCTTTCATAGAAATATAGGTTTATATACCAATGATCTCGATTAGTTATGATATTGGCATGTATCTGACCATAACTTAATGGATTATGGCCCCTTATTGTATGCTTGTTTAGCTTGTTCTCTGTCCATCTCTTCAAAATGTAGCTGTATCTTGCATGGCAACCATTTGTTATGGCTTGGGACAGACTTTATAGTGTATTTTCAATCTCCTGGATTGTTGGCAAATGGCAACAATTTTGAAGGTATCATACTCATAGACAACCTTGCTGCTAGTAACCCGGTCTATGTTTATTTAAAGGAGCTAAATCGCTAATATCTGGCACCTAGAAATTGACTCAAATGGTTAGCAACGCATATAATAATATAATATGAATGTATATAAACTGATTTACATTCAATTGTTTGTTTTTACTGTAATTTCTAATCAGTTATGTTCTGCGAAATACGCCAGAAGTCTCAGTCGAATGGTAATCTCTAGCCTCTGGTTATTCCAGTTTATAACGATAGTATTTATTACGCATTCTCTCTAGATAAGAATATGTCGTCACCGCTTGACGTGACTTGTGGAATATGTCTTAACATCGTTCTACGAGTCCCTTGTTACAAATGGCGCTGAAACGCCTTATGGTACACGATTCGTGTACCAATGGTAAAATATTTATTTTGTCTTAAATATTGGTTACCAGACACTCACCTTTTCCTGGTAAGATCACAACATCAATGTTGATTTAATTTGACAAATAATTCGTGTTTTCAATGTCGAAGTCTTTGGATGATACCGAGTTAGAGACTTAGCTACTTTAATAAAACTACAATTTCATATTTTTAAAATTTATTAAAATAAAGCCTTAAAAAAGATGGTATCCATAAACCGCCCTACCTTGTTAAAGAATAATCCTATTAATCCTATAATTCACTATTGCCAGCTGAGAAATTGGCAAAAATATCATTTTCAACTTCAAATTCCAACGTTTGAAGGTAGCTAATGCATGGAGGCAATAGGAAAACAAGGGAGGTAATTGTGTTATTATTTCCTGTGTCAATGATTTTTAAGGGTGGGAAATAACCATGGTCGTATAATAGTGAGTTGATAACCTATTGAGCAAAAGACATAGGAATAATTATGTTTTGACTTTCTTAGAAAATATGAAGTTCTCGCTTTAAGTACTTATAACAATCATACTTTTGTTTTCTTTTTATCAGGTGATACCACATTTGATATATTTAAAAATGTCACAAATCCAGATTTACTCAGAGTGAAGATATTGATAGCTGAATCTACTTATATAGATAAAGAACCTAACAAAGATATGATCAAATTAGCTCAGGATAGAGGTCATACACATTTACAAGAATTTATAGACAATGAACATTTATTTAGGGATATACAGCACATTGTTTTAATTCATTTCTCTGATAAATACTCATCTAATTATATTAAAAGAGTTGTATACTCTAGTTTACCTGATAGTCTGATAGATAAGGTAGTGGTATCAACATATGCTAAGGATATTCCTTGATATTTTAAAAACACGAAAATAGTTTTTATCAAATACTAATTTCTGTTTAAATACCAACAAATACAATTAGAATATTGCTTGCTGCATGGAAATAAAGTTTGTTTTTGATATTGCACTTATAACCAGAACAATCCAAACATACAAATTCTGATAATAATATACGAGAAATCCCCCATATCCCGAATCTGAATAATGCTTATGATAATTCATAGTTAATCTTGCTACATGATGATAAGGTGGGGCAAGTCAAATTGAATTAAAATATCCATTTTTCATCAGCTATCTAGATCAATCATTAAAATCTTTCTTGCCATGCAACAAATACAAAAATGATTCATAGCGTCTGTTGTGTTTCTCAATAACCTGTTTCTGCAGTGAAATGGGTATTGTATTGGAGTAACCTTTGTTCTAGAGAACTTACAGATGGATTTAAGAAGCCTTAAACTTCATTTCCAGTAGGTTATAAACAGTATCTTAGTCTAAGATTTAGAAAATTTTATCTTCCATAATGTTACTGACCATGAACCACACCCATATTTTACCTTGTGCTCCCAGCTACTTCAAAATCGCCACTCCACAGATGGGACCCATAGTATGATGATTACTGATACACCATTTATTTTCATGCAAGTGTAGAGATTTATGTTTTGTACAGGTTGTGTTGACTTTATGTTATTCTTGTTACATGATATTTTACTATCTTTTGTACAGGTTGTGTTGACATTAAGTTATTCTTGTTACATGATATTTTACTACAGAAATAATAATGAGTTTCAAGAATTCATATTGAACGCTTAATCTGTTGGGACCACTATAAAGATTGCTGCACAAATCTACTATGATAATTGGAATGGAAGAGTAGACAGTTGCACTGCTGCTTTGTCGGAATTCTTGACCTTTACATACCCCCACTATATGCAAACTATGCACTGTAGATTATAAGATTTGTCATCAATGCAAGTATTGTTGTTTTGATCTAACGTTTGCTTTACAGTAACCACAATGTACATTTATAATTGTCATGTAGCATTTAATCGATTAGTTACTTGCGTTCAATAACCTGAAGAAAGGAGTACTTGCGGTCAAATTATTGGGGCCTGAGCTGTCACCACTGTTGTTAAGCTTCACCAACTTTATGCATGAATTCAGGTTGTGATCATTATTTTATAACATTATCTTAAAGACCTACAAACAGGGATAAACATTGTAATAGAATTTTAATATTTTCCCCTATACACACATTTAAACATTGTACTAAACCCAGTTTCCAACCTCTTGGGTTTTCTCCGACTTCAAGCAAGTTCTGAAATAAAATTGAACCATATGTTGGTCCCAAAATAACCTAGTTTGTGTCAAGTGAACTTTAAACCCCATTTCTCTCTTTCTACATACCCAGTCAACAGGAAAATCTATTTTCTACAAAATGGTGTCATATTTTAAAGGAAAGTCAACACATTGCTAAAGGGAAAAAATTGATTATGTTCCAGAATGCATTTAATGTAAGTGTAGGAAGCCTTTTTCCTCAAGGGGTTTTGGCTGGTTATATTGGTATTTATTTTACGAATCGATACAATGTTTTGGAAAAGTTACAAATAAATCTATTTTCAGTGGGTGTTCTGGATTTCTTCTTATGAGATAAATGAACTTGAAACTTTCCTCCACTCTCTCACAATGTATTTTTTAGCCTATAGGACCATCATGCCTAAGTGCTGACAATGAAATGGGGTTTAATGTCCTACTCTTCTGCACTGACTGGGCTTATGAAGACGCACATACACCATACAGTGTGCTGTGAGGGAAATTGGGATTACGGCCTACTCTTATATCGAATTCCAACTGTCAAGGGTTCTTTTATGTGCACGCCAATGTGAACATGGGACCTCAGTTTTTCATCCCACTGACAACAGGGTACCACACCGGAAAATCTGATGAACTTTGTCGGTTAACCCAGGGAGTCGAACACTGAACATCCAGGTTAATGAGCCAACGTCTTACTCATAGAACCACCATGGCTCCCGAATGAATTGGGGATTTGTTCACATGATGAATTTTAGTAGAATAAGGGGGCTGTTAAATGGGTAAAAATGGACCAGTGTTCAAAAATTGTCTTCTAAAGAACCTCCCAATAAATATTTAAATATAAATAATATTATGGGAATTCAGACCGGTTCATACATTAGAAATGAAATAAAAAAAAAAGGCGGGTTTAAACATTCTACTTTTCTGCAACAAGCTGGCTTATCAGGATGGGCATTTGCCATGGGGCTTGCTGTGAGAAAATTTTGCCCGGTCAGCAGCATCACGGACACTTAAAGGGATTAAAATAAAACTTCTTACTACAGCTTGACTGTATGTATATATAGACCAGGAGCCCAGTGGGTCAACCTAGGTGAAAAGTGTACCAATTTTATCCTATATGGTATCGATGCATGTATATCTGGTATCATCAGAATGTAAGTCTGCCAGGTTTCTGGTGGTGGGTGTGGTATTCCACGCCCAAAATGCAATGCCCCCCCCCCCCAACTAGGCTAGATTAGCTTAAAAGTGTACCACATGAAAATCGTACAGCAGTGTACCGTACATCTTCAGATATTACAAAATCACTCTGACAGACATTTCTAGTGGTGGGGTACCCCCGATAGAGCTATGTAATTGCCAGACATTTGTAGTGGTGGAGTATCCCTGACATGAGTTATCTAATTTCCAGACCACAGCTAGGCTAGATTAGCTGAAATCTGTACCACCTAAAACAGCTTTGGAGTCGTTCAGTACCACGACGGGAATCATGAATGACCTCTGCCAGACAATTTGTGCGGTGGGAAACCCCTAACAGACACGCTCAAAAATGCCACGCCCCCATCTAGGATAGATTAGCCGGCACTGTTCCTGTGGTCCAAAAAATTAAAAATTGTGCCAGGATGCATAGAATACTAATACCTAGTACGTATGGAAGAGGTGATAAACTGCGGTAATCCCTTCAAGTGCATGTGAGCAGCATTTCCATCTAAACTTCATCGAATTGCAACTGTCATGGCTGTTTTATGTTTAAGCCAACATGTACAGAGGACCTCATATTTTCATAACATCCCATCTGCTCCTTCTTGCTAGGCCCTCCGTCCTACACCAATGACAAGGGAAAAACCACACTGCAAAATCCTGATCAATACCAGACATCCTGACCGTGGCTCCCACATCTATATTTCGCCACATCTATATTTCGTTTCGTTTTTTTTGTTTTATATACTTTCGATGGCCTCTAAAATACCTAGTGTAGTAAATACAAGTAAAACAAAATTTTGAACTATAAAACACGAAACGAAATAGGATCTGCATTTTGATCAGATCGGGTCTTTAAGAGGAAGTATGAAAATACACTTTATAACATTTTAGAGGTAGGCTACTTTTATAACTTTTCCTTATACAACATTTCCTTACAGGGTTTCCCTAGACAAGGGCAAATATGTGGCCTTTATAAAAGGCTGTGAAAATATTTAACAACATAGTATAATCATGGACTGTATATGGTATAATCAACTTGGTAGTATAAGTAACAGCCAGACTACAGTCATTCAGGTGTGATGATAAAGTATTAAACCAAGGACCATCCATGAACATATTGGCATGCATGTAAAAAGATCCCATGACAATTTGATTTAGAGTGTTCGGTAATGCCGCTGTCGGGACAAAATCTCTTCCAATGCATTGCACAGTGACCTTAGAGATAAAATAAATGCAAGTCTCATAATGACTGAAGTATGGTGTTGATGAGATGTTAAAACTTTATTCCTTTCCAAAATAATAACTTGATGTGGTAGTCTTCTGTACCGGTTTTTTCTATAACACAAACGAAGCTGTTCACCATCAGCGATACATTTTATTGTTTTTTTACTGCATGATTGTTTATCTTACAATTTATATGAAATGCTTGAAAATGAAATATATTTATTTGGCAACACGATCTTCATTTATAAACTTATTTTGTCTGTTTTACATTCATACACAAAATGTAGTTTAGAAATTAGTACTGTTGTTACATTTTTTATTATTTTTATTACAAAATGAAAGACTTTCCTTATTACAAAAGCATTATTCATATGTTCAAATTAATACATGAATAATGCTAAAGTACTTTAATTTATACATGTGTATGTACCCTTTTAAGACTAAGCTTTTTGAAAGATAATAGATAACCTTACTAGACCAAATAAAATTGATGGCACTAGATTGATGAAGGTGATCATTAGAAAGGATGAAATATAAATGGCTGCAAGTTCAATTTCAAGAAATTTTTGTGAAAAATTTAAACATCAATAATGCATTAGTCACATGCTGCGTGTAGGCCTATTGTAAGGAATTCATTTTAAAAAAAAGTGCTGGTAGTTAAATCTGTACATGTTGGTTACCATAACAAAACTTGTACTGATAGGTCCAAGTAAACTTGGTAATCTGAAGCCAATATGATAAATAAAATCTGTGTTGAGTTCAATATAGAATGAATATTTCTCCTTATATGGAAGTACCAAGGAATAGTAATGATTTTACATGGCCAAAATTGATCACTTGCGCTTTTATATTTATTTATACATTTGACAAAGCCAAATGTTACCTCCAAAATTTAATTTAATTTATTTTTTATATCAGTCATTAGTTTAGAATTAAAAGAATTTCAGGGATGTTTATACCAACAAATAGATAAAACAAAAGTATGATATATACATCTATGTCAAAACTCTTTCATTCACTGTAGATAATTGTGGCAAAAACTGAAAAGTTTAGGTACATACACAATGTAGTATTTTTCTTAATATTCCTCAAACTATTTAAACTGTGATGTCTTTTTTTTTCAAGAGAACATTACACAATAAATATCAAACTACATTTTTATATCACAACAATAATTAGATTATTAATAATATTAAATAAATAATTACATCTATCACCATACATACTGTTCCCAATCTCAAAAATAACTACACTAAAAAATATCTTCAGACAATACCCAGAAAACTATGATCAACAGCTTGAGCTGGTCCTTTCGTCTACACTTATTGATGAATTACATATATTCTTTAACAAATTCAATCACTCATAGTATTGTAGCAATCCAATGTCATCCAATTTATGAAATTGTGACAATATTTTTGTTACCAGATTTATAATATTTGTCTAATACTTAAACCCGAATGGAAAAAAAAAAATACATGTTATGAGTCATGTTGTAACTAAAGAATCTTTCGATCTTTCCCTTTAAAATTTCTAAAAAATATAGAAAATTCATCTATAACTCAAAATGGCAATACGCATTCAGTTAAAAGTGCATAGTTGATAGAAGTTTTAAAACAGTTAGTCAATGCAATATGATGTGTTATGCTTTCAGAAAATATTTAATTCTTTTTGTCAACATATATTATCAATGTTATGTTTTGAATCCTTCCCCGCCCCCAAAATAACCCCAAATCAATATGTATGTTCAATTCTGATCAACCTATGCACTTTCAGCTTTCACAATAAAATCCATCCCAGCTCAGTTGTTACAAAATGATTACTGTACAAAACATTTAGCAATATTTACGTAACTCCAAAATACATGATTATTAATGGCTTATGGATTTAACACAAACACCAATTCTCATACCAAAAAAATTCAAATATGTATAACTAGAAAACTATATCAAGAAGGAAAAAAACATTATTCACATTAAAAAAAAATAGGCTAAATCATTAGCTAGATAATATAATAAATAAATTTCTAAGATTAGCGTTGATCACACAAAATAAAGATAGGTTAATGAACAAAATAATGAGACGAATGAAAAAAAAAACTGAGACTTGTCAATTTTTCAGAACAACACATTACATGGATATATCTTTTATTACTGGTGATAATAATACTAATATGATAATTGATGACAAGTACAGGCTGAAGTATAAAGCATACATGGAGAGTTGAATTAGGGTGAACATTTACAAATTGTGATCTCTTTGATGCTAAGGAGTGGCGACATTTTAATTTTCATTTTCAGAAATAACAAATTTCAGCATTATGATATTACAAGCTGGTACTGTACTAAGAATTAAATATTAATAATTATATTATTTTAGACACTGTTAATGTACAGTAAGACTATTGATAGTAAATTTCCTAATATCTGTCATGATATTAAAAAATTCTGAAATGACTAGAGCAATGCTTGAATTATTGGAACCTTTTTCGATTTTTAAACTGAAATAAATAAATATTTAAAGCATAAGTAATTAAACACACACACACACAAAAAAAATATCACTGATTAGTTTACAAAATTTGAATAGCACTATGATTATAGTACCAGTTACTTAATTAAAAAATCTTTTTAAATTATTTTCCCCCTTAACTGTTTTTTTTTTTTTTATCAATTATTATTAAAATTAGGATACTATTGTTAAGATATGCACTAATTTAACTAAAAAAATAAAATAACATACAAGTATAAAACAATATGAAATGATAGCACTAAATAAAAGCAAATACCACAGTTAAGCCTAAAATAATTTCTACTAAATACTCAATGACTAAAATTTTTGTTAACTGTTAAGATGTCAATAATCTTCTTGTTTTGTAATGTGCCTCAACACTGTTATATGAAAGGGCTCTCTATAAATATGCTGTAATAATAATAATAATGTATTGAAAATAGCTGTTAGCCTGTGCCTGTTATAGATTTACTAAAAAAGCTTGAATAAATATAAGGAAAAGTTAAAATAAGCGATGCTGCGATACCCAATATATTATATATGTATAAGTGTGAAATATAATAAGTATGTTTGAAATATAAGCTTATATTAAATATTTAGAACAATTACTGTTTTTCTCTCACTGAATCTGGGTTTCTCATAATAATTTCATTCATTTGAAAGTACTCATCATGAATATTAGCAAGAGCTAAATAGTGTGCTCGTTTTATTTATGGGCTCTTTAACCTGTTAGCACAGCAAAAGTAGAAGGATACACAGTTCGGACTTTTAAACAAATTCGAAAAGATTTATACTCCTGGTACTACAACTTTATTGGGACCTAATGTAAATGGGGTGCATACAACCTCAATACATTATTATTATTATTTCATGAAAGATAGGTTACCAAGTAACAATAGGTACACTCACAGCAGCTAAGTTGGGAGAACAGTCCATAACAACTGTCACATTTTTATTTTTTTCAAGATAATGGGAGAATTTACAAGATACTAAAAACTGATCAAGGGCAACAACCTTTGATGTAATCAATAGAATTAATTTAATAAAAATTTGACTGGTTTTATTTCTCCCTGGCATTAACATAAACAAAACAGGATAAATTTAGCTGTTCAAGTTGAAAACCAAAAGGCTTTTTCAACTCATCAACTCATGAAGAGAAACAATCAGATGATAACCGTAACCTCTGGAGGGTTCACAAAAATTTTCAAATACATCATGGGCCATAACTACAACACAAATAATTAGAAATCAATGAACATTACACTCTAATTACATTAGGCTTCTTCATCTCATAAACACTGCGTTTACATTTCAAGTCAATCGGATGATAACTTCAGTCTCTGAAACATCCACAAGATTTCTAAGTGATCAAGAGTCATAACTCCATAAGCATTCATGAGCAGTTGAGGATGACAAAAGGACAGACAGTGGTGACAACAATATACAACAATCATTATGAATTTTCAAAGAATAAACTATTGTTACATATAGGAAATATTGTACTATACAAATACATTGTATGCACTAAATAGAAATATAATGGCATATAGTGTAAAGTATGACAAAATGACATTGACAATTAATAATGATGATGATGTGACAAAATATATACAGTTTTTTAAAAAATGTAGACAAACTCAAAACCAATTTCTTATCAATAAATAATAACCATACTACATATTACTTATATGTTTCAGAAATTTGCAATCCGTATTCTTCTAAATGAAGGTTAAAATAATTTCATGCCTGGATTACCTCAATCTGAATTATTTCAATTCCAGTATCAATATGCAAAGATGGATTCTTAAGATGAAATATGAGAATTAGTAATCTATTTTAACTTGATATGTAAAGGAAATCTACACTTGTAGATACGTTAATTAACTCTTTAAACAAAGCCAAAAGAAAGTGAAATATACATCGTAAGGATGCTTGTCATCTATAATAATAATAGTTCAAATAAATAAATAAAAACTCAAATCCAGAAACAAAAATTCAAATATTTTTTAACATTTTAATTTTTTCTCTTTTTTTTTCAATCTTTTAATCATTTGATTTAAAAAAGCATTTTTCTTCTTCTATTAGGACAAGAAATTCTGAACTATTGTGGCGTAATTATACTTACTCAAACGAAATCTTCCAAACTTTGCATAAGGAGCAAATGTTGGCATAAAGATTATCGTGAAGCTGACAAAGGTTAAAGTTCAGAACATTTGATCAAACTACCGTAATCACAGAAGAGTGCAAAGACTAATCATAGCTAGTTGCTAAAATAAATAGATTGTAGCCAAATGAATTTACAAAAATATTCTCTTTTCCTGAATAAAGCTTGTTCTTTGTTATTGTTTGTTTGTTTATTTACTTGTTTATTTCTGTTGGCGTCACAGAACATAATAGCAGTCTTAATCACAGAATATTATATATCAATAAAGAGAGTTCACTTTAAACACCATTTTCCCACCATGGTGTCCATCCAAGGACTCCACAAGAAGCATCAACAATGTTAAGTCTTTCCAAAAGCTCTTTAGCTATTGGAATTCTAGTTGACCGAAACACATGAAATATTACTTGTAGTCAAAGTTACTTTGTCAGTAGGGACATAAGGCCGAAAACATCCAATATGTGTCTTAAAGTTATCATAATAATAGTCCACCATTTCTAAATCAGTTCTCTTTCTGTTTTCGTTTGTTGAAATGGTAATCGTTAGTGACATTTTGAGAAATAACCAGTCGGTACATGCGGACATGATATACCCAACAGTTATAATATATTATAAAACAAAAAGATGACACTATTAGTTTATACCATTAATAAGGTATTATAACTTGGTCCTGATTGTCCAATAACAGCACAACTTCACATCACAGATAGTAGAATTGTCACTTGTCTCCCCCTAAACTCTGTTTACCAAGAGTGACATCATAAATAGCACTGTTCGGTTGGAAATAGTGAAGTAAATTGACTTCTGGCTCTACTGTGGACATATCATTCCCATCCATTATCTTTAATCATATGGGCTAGTTCTATAATAAACTTGCCCTCTTTATATTTCTGACTAGATTCAAAAGCATGTTCCTGAAGAAGAAAGAATATTGTTTCATTAATGAAACTTTTATATAGAATATAGGTATGTACTACTTCAGGTGATCAGCATCAGTCGTCAGAGCAGTCCACAAGGTTGTCCCATATTTATTGTCCCCCGCCTTTCGAAGAAATCAGAGGACTATTAAAATGGGTTCGTCCGTCCGTCTGTCCATCACACTATTTGGGACACAATAACTCTCCTTCGAATTGAGGTAGAATGTTCAAACTTGGTGTAGGCGGTGATTGGGTGAATGCCTTGATGGAGTTCAAAGATGAGCATTTTCTCCTTAGGCTAAGCAGAGATAAGCAATTTGATTGGTTGATGCTTAACTCTGGAAGTAATTTACAGAAATTGTTGAAATTCGACTGGCTTTTTCGTGTTATGTTTTATTTGTATCTTGTATTGCATTACCACATGTATTGTGAAAGTTAGAAACAATAAATGTAATAAAATTGTAATCTAATTTTAAATAAATTGAGTGTAATCAGCAGATATTGTAGTGAATATTTTAATTTGATAATATTATTATATTAGCATAACCAACGAATGGCCAGAGATTGCCATACTATAAATTAATGAAATAATGAAAAGTATCTGAATAAATTGGTACCAAAATGTAATTTTACAACCATATATCTAAAACACATGTGGGGCTTATTTTGCAACCTTCGCTCTATGCGTGAATCTTCTGACAAAACTAACGGAAATGAATGGTGTTTTATATAGCAGCATTACAGACAGTTTATTATAAACAGAACATGTTAATCTGTCAATTAATACATGAATGCAATACACGAGGGAGCAAATTCAAGCAACCAAGAAAAACATGTCTGGCAATGATTCCAGAACAGGAAAGAACAGAAGATTAGAAAGATCATATTAATAACTTACATATTTCCATCCCAGCGTAGTCTTACAACACTCACAAAATATATCTGCTACAGCATGTAAACCAGTTAATAAAACTCTTTCTTCTGCTGGTCCACAGCCTACATTTACTCTGAAATATACAATATTTTCATACATTTATATATGGCAGTTATTAATGGAAATTGTTAAAAAAAATGAATAGGCTTCTTCGTTTCATGACCTCAAACACGGGTGTATAAATTTAAAGGACAATATTGGTGCCAGTCATTATCACATAGAACTGGTTAAACACGTTCCAAATATCATTTTATCACGAGATCATTGCTACGATAGATAGATGTGTAATCAATGTTTCAACAATCGGAAGTGACGAACGCAAAAGGAAAACACGAGTTATCCCTCTATATAACTGACTGAAGTGACGAGTGATAACAGATACATGTGTGAATTTCTGCTCACTAATAATTCCTTAAAGTCAATTGAATATCAACTTTAACCTCCACAAGATTTTTCAAAGTGATCAAGGGTCATAACTCTTGCTGTAATTATCGGAAATTGCTGAAAATCAATAGGATGCTTCCTCTCATTACATTGAACATTATGTATAAATTTTAGACAATCGGATATAAACTTTAGTGATCAAGGGCCATAGCTCTGGCACTAATTTTCAGAAATGGTTTAAAATCAATAGATTTCTTCGTTTCATAAACTCACATACTGTGTATAAATGTAAAGTCAACCGGATATTAATTTTAGACTCTTGAGCGTTCATAAGAAATTGTGGATCCTGACTGGACAGATGGATGGGGGCAACAGCAATTTAAACAAGCCAACAGTGAGGTTGATGTCCCCCACCGAAATCTCAAAATAAATAGATGATACATATTAATTAATCACACATTTATTTTTTTCAATAGTATCCAGCAATGAAACTGATTATTAACTATACACTAAGTTTCATCACTAATTTTAGCATCAAAGCATCGACCAATGAAATTGCTTAGCTCTGCTTAGCTTTAGCTCGAAATGCTAATCATTGAACTCATTCAAGACATTCACCTAATGGACATCTACATCAATTAAGCAGAGTTGTTATGTTCCAATGTCTTGACCAATCAAATTGCTTATCGCTCCTCAGCCTAACAGATAATTCTCATTATCGAACTTAGTCAAGGTAATGATATAATGAATCTATACTACGAGTTTCATAACTCTCACTTAATTTTAACCAAAGTTATCGTGCCCCAAAGCATCAATCAGATTCCTTATACCTGCTTACCGTAAGCAGGAAATGTTTATCATCTATTCCATGGCATTCACCTAATGTTCCAAAGCAGGGGCAGATTGGGGCCGTGTTGGAGTGGCCCCTTTTACTGATCGCGGAGCCTGGACGGGGAATCCGGGGGCTCTCCCCCTGGAAAATTTTGAAAAATGAACCCCAAATATGCGATTTGGTGGCCTATCTGATTATAATCTCTGTCAAATAATATATCTCATAAATCGATTAATTTAGGCCAAAACCCTCAGGAAATCGTCTCGCACTCATATTCAGCCAGTAGACCAGCTATCATCAAATTTTGCTGAGGCCTTAAAATTGAATTTTTTTGGGAGTTACGAATCATTGGCAGACGTTTCTGGTGTATCCCCACAAATAGGGTGCAGGCGACTTAATTAGTAAATTTGCGGGCAACAGTGTCAGGTGAATCCGATGAAATTTTCGGATGAAATTCGGAATCATCATTGCAGGATTCCGAATTTCCGGCCTACACCCAGCACACCCAGCCCAGTTAAAGCCACCGGCCACATACAACATGATCATCATCGCTCCATTGCCGGTCCAATACCCCCCCCCCCCCCCCATATAATGTTCAGCAGAAAAATGTTTTTTAGATGAATTGGACAAAATCATTTTTTTCATTTTTTGTCCAACCGGCCCTTCGGCCCAATCCACAGTTTCGACCAATCAAATTGCTTATTGCTCTGTTTACCATGAATAGAAAATGCTCATTATCGAACTTATTCAAGATATACACCAAGTGTTCTCACTCTCACTTAATTAGAACTAAAGTTATCGTATCCCAAAGCATCAACCAATCAAATTGCTTATCTCTGCAAACCCTAGACAGAAATTTTTTATCTCCGAACTCCATCAAGGCATTCAACTAATAAACACCTACGCTAAGTTTTAACATTCTAGCTCAATTAGAAGGAGTGTTATTGTGTTCCAAAATCTCGGCCAATCAAATTGCTTATCGTTCTGCTTACCTTGGGCAGAAAATGTTCATTATTGAACTTAGGCAAGGTATTGATGTACTGAAACTTACTATACACCAAATTTCATCTTAATTATAACTAAAGTTATCATGTTCCAAATCATCAACCAATCAAATTGCTTATCTCTGCTTAGTGCTTACCCTACGCAGAAAATGCTCAACTTCAAACTCTGTCAAGGCATTGAGCTAATAAACACCTACACCAAGTTTGAACGTTCTAGCTCAATTAGAAGGAGAGTTATTGTGTTCCAAAGTCTCTGTTGTATAATAACCCTGTCACCCTTAATTGGAGTTATCTCCCGGATTCTCATCCGAGCAAGTGGGAGCAAATAAAGAGCGGTTCTATTGTTCTTGTGTTCATGTCAATGCTTAGCCTTATCTAGCCTGGGGTATTCAAGTAGATACGGTCACAAAAGTATCGAACATGGTGTCAGAAGTGGCGAATTAACGCTAGACCGTAATTCATGCTTGATCACAGAAAAAGACATTTCTGAAATTCACCCAAACGTCAACAGACAACTGCTTCGATCACGCACGTAAACAAAATGGCGGACTCCATTCCCTTCGTCAAGCCACCAGAGCTGTTAGAAATAAGCGGTGGAAACCCATCTTATGCATGGAACAAATGGAAACAGAGATTTGATATTTATCTCATGCTATGCTATGAAAGTGGGTTTATTGCTGAATCACATAGGAGATCGTTGTCTCGAAATCTTCTCTAATTTTGTTTTTCTGCCAGAACAGGAAGGTGACGATGATGTAATTCCAGCCGAAGATGAAGAAAATTTTGATACAGTTATTCAGAAATTTGATGCGTATTTTACACGCCGTGATCCACAATTGATGTTGCATGAGAAATTTTGGTTCCACTTAACACGAGATCCAGCTCAATCATTTGATTCTTGGGTTGTAACAGTCCGAGAACAGGCCTCGTGCAAATTCCCAAATAACTTTCTCGAACAGGCTATTCGAGATAAACTTACCTTTTGTCTAAAGGATGATAGTGCCAAATTAAAGTTGTATGACCAAGGTGCAGAACTTAGTCTTGAAAAGACAATTCAGATTCTTTCAATGAAAGAAGCCACACAACGTGAACTTCATGAGACAAAATCAGCAATGGTGGATTTTCTTCGTCACAAGCCACCAGATAATCGTCATCGGTCACACTCACACCACGAGAGGAACAAGTTCAAGTCTCGCCAAATAGACAGCCAACAACAAAGTCAAAGTCAGAGACACGCCCCACATTCAGACCACACTTCCTGTTACTACTGTAATGTTATACACCCACCGGGAAAGACAAATTGCCCGGCTGCTCAAGCTGTATGTTATAAGTGCAAGAAAGTAGGCCATGTTTCCTCAGCATGCATGAAGAATAAACAATGTTCCAAATGTAGGAAAACCGGGCATTTAGCTTCAATCTGCAAAAGCTCACAAACATTGCAGATGATTCACATTCAGAGACTACTACATGTGCTAGTACATTTATTGGCGGAATTAATAGCGACATACCTACCATTCCAGATCCAGGATTTCACATTAGGTTAAAAACCGGTGATCATCAAAAAGAGCTTACATGGACCATTGATACTGGTGCGCAAGTCTCCGTCATGCCGTTTCCAGTGTACAATAACTCCTTTGGAAAATTGGTTCCAACCGACCGAAAACTTGTAGGACCTGGTGATAAATCCCTTGATACAAAAGGCTATGTATCTATGACTCTTCAGAATGATTCAACACAGATCCAAGAACAGGTCTATATTGTGGACGGACCTAAACTTTTATTAGGTTTACCTGCAATTCACAGTTTTGGACTCATCCATAATATACCAGGGGCGTACAGTGTCAAAGCCGTTAAAATAGATTCAGACAATTCCAATACATATAAACTTCCTTCTCATCCTGTCTTCAAGTCAAGAGATGAAATTTTGAAGAGGTACAGTAAGCTTTTCAATGGCTTAGGAAAACTGGATGGCACACATAAAATATGCCTTAGTGACAATGTTAAACCCTTCTGTTTGACAACGCCAAGAAGAATTCCCTTACCCTTGATGAAAAAGGTTAAAGACAACTTGAATCAACTCGTTTCATGTGAAGTTATTGAACCAGTCGACGAGCCTACAGATTGGTGTGCTCCCATCGTCGTAGTTCCCAAACCAAATGGTGATGTACGCATTTGCGTGGACTTAACAAAGCTCAATAAGAGTGTCAAAAGAGAAATTTATTCAATCCCAAAAGTGGAAGAGACTATGGCTGATATTGTCCAGGGATTGGTTTTCTCTAAACTGGATGCAAATTTAGGGTTCCATCAACTCCAGTTGGATGAAGAAAGTACCCGTCTGACATGTTTCATCACACCCTATGGCCGTTATAAATTCAAGCGTCTTCCTTATGGAATATCCTCAGTGCCCGAAATTTTCCAAAAGAGAATGGATCAGATCCTAGCCGGATTACCTGGTGTCCTTTGTCACATGGATGACATATTGATAATTGGGCGTAATCAATATGAACATGATAGACGTCTCCACAGTGTTCTCGATCGACTGCAAAGCCAGTGGTCTTACACTAAACCCTGACAAGTGTTTGTTCTCCAAGTCTTCACTCCAGTACTTAGGTCAAGTCATAGAGAACAGGGTCATAAAGAAAGATCCAGCTAAAGTTACAGCCATCATCGCCATAGCAGCACCAAAGAATATTTCAGAACTACGCAGATTTTTGGGCATGGTCAATCAGCAGATGAAGTTTTGTAATAATTTAGCAGAAACTACGAAACCCCTTCGTGATCTCTTGAAAAAGGAATCGTCATGGGCATGGGGAAATGTTCACAATCAAGCATTCCAGACAATCAAAAATGAAC